ATAATTATTTACAGGAAAATATGCAAATTATAGGTAGTTATGCACAAAAGTATCAGAGGTTATGGTATTTAAATAAAATTTATCTTAAAAAGATATAATAGGAACTTGAAAATCTAAGTCTGCAGTTCATATGCGTGTCTTTTCATATGTAGAACCAGTTTCTTCAATCATATTGCCTGTCTTTATCTTCTTTTTAAGAGTGATTGAGGGTTTCAATTTCTATTACAATCTAGCATTATGAAACTTACTTAACTGTTTTGGTGCCATGTGTACCTGAGTTTAGAATACATATGGCACCAAAATAACTAAGTTGCATTATTTTTTACCATTATTCATTATTTATTCATTAACAATGAATGGTGGGTGGAATGGGAGATGATTAGTTTTAGTAAAAAGAGCGGAGGGGGAGCTAAAAGTTTTAGTAAGCATGTGACAGTAATTTTTTTCATATTCTAATAGTATCGCTTTTCAGAAATCTTATAAAGAACAATGGCTGTTGGAACATGGAGAAAGTTGGATTAATTGCTTCATCATTACTCAATGAAGTCAATGCTGCTTGCTCCAAAGGAAGGATATGTAGCACTGCTGCCAAAATAACTTCAAATTTCAAAGAATCAACTCATTCTAAATTTAACATTACCCTCTGCTTAATAAAACCAAATAACAAGATTCCTTGGATTGGCATTTCAGCTCTTTCTCTGTTTTGGAAGTACAACATTTCAGTTACAACTGAGAGAGCAATAACAACTCTTTTTATAGCTCTGAAGCAAAACTGAAATGATTTTACTCCATTTAATTTAAATATAGGCAAATACAATGACACCTCATCATGGCACCGGTGTTTTTCCGAGAAAGCCAAATCAACAACTCTCCACATGGTAACTGTGAAATGTACAATGCCTGTTATTGGGAACAATTTTCTAAAGTTGGCACATAAATCTGAACCTTATTTTCAAGGTTCTAATGTAGTGTTCTGCGTAGATCTCATTCCTGTTTTATTTTGTTATCAGAAAGCATCTGCAGTGCTGCCTGCCTGTTAAAACCAGAATAGAATGAATACATCTAAAATCAGTAATGCTGTTCTTCCCTGCCAGGCAATTTGTTTTAATGGTCTTCTGTTTCTTTCACAAATTTTCTGGGAGTTCTGGTACGCAGAGAAATGATCCAGAACAGTGCAATGCAATGGCAGAAATTGTCTGTATAACATGAACATTTCTCTTATAGGTTCCCTCATTCTCCCCAGTAGCATAGAAGCAATGTCGTACTTAACTGGAATATAAGAATATCAGTTAAATTACTTATGTATCAATGAACTACCAGTCTCCATTAATTAGCTAACAACAAGTTAGATTTCTTTCTAGGTTGGCTATAAAATAAACTGACAAATGATGAAGAAAAGGATGATCACCATCTTCCTTCTTTGCAATCATTTCTTTTTAAAGATCACATTGAAATTTCTCCAAGCTTTAAACTGCTCATTCTGCCAAATGTAGCCAAATTCCAGTTCCTGTGAAGAACTAAGAGTCCCACTATGTGCAAATTTTCCTTTCTGATCCAGCCAGAAATAATCTCAAAAGACTCCACTGAAATATGCACAAGAAGGTTACAGAACCCTCAGCTCCAAAAAGAGCAGAGTGGGTGAGTGGGTGATCTGTCATAACATGTTTGGAACAAATCAGTTAAAGGAAAGCAATTTCCCATTTTTCAAAGGAAGCAGTAATCTCTCCAGTCTTCAAGGCCATACTGCCCCAGGGATATCTCTAGAAAAATTAAACAATAACAACTGCCATAAATACAAGCAGCACCATGGGACCGCCAATGGAAAAACAATATGAAAATTAAGGCATAATTTTAAAAAAATGTTGTTGAGCGAGGTAAAGCATATCTTTTAAATACAAATGGGGGAAGAATCTCTTGCAAAATCAAAGATGCTGCTCTAAAAAGTTAGGCAAGAGGCAGAGTGATTCATGAATGCATGACAGACTATAAGGCAGTTGACAACTAAGTCTCTTGCTTGAAGAGTAAAAAGATTAACCATGCCGTAACATAAGAAAAACCCTTCCTATCCAAGAGGATCCGTGTGTTTATGCTCGCCTAAAGGAAAGAGTCGGTAATCAGCCAGTTGGAAATGGTTTCCTTAGAGACAGTAGAACCTGCTGACTTTGAGCCAGAAGAAAAAGAAGGGATGGTAAGATTTCTTATGACTTGGCTCACTCCTAGAGAAATGTTTTGTCATAAAATTTACGGAGATAGCCTTTACTGGCATGTGAGAGCAAGTGTGAAAGCAATATAATGAGCCCATCACATCTTCTTTGGAAGGCATGTAGAAGGACTTAAGGATTGCTTTATATTTGAGGAGTGGAGTGTAGAAATGTGGGGTGATTTGTCTCAGTACTGTAGGCTAAAATATAATGGCAGTAGTTCTGCTAAGTGCTGCATGTTGAAGTAATTTCCAATGGACAAAAAGGAAGTAAGAATAGTAGCATACTTCTCCTTAGCAGTTTTATTCTAGATTACTAGGAATAAAATGTACTGTTCCAGAACTTGAACATTTTGTAGTTCTGTTTCTAGTGAATTCTGTTTCTTCTCCAGACCAAGATGATCCAGCCATTCTGAGGATGGTCTGGTAATTTTTTCAGAAAGTAATTTTCCAAATGGAAACTCATTGTGCTATACCAAACAAAAGAAATATGTTTCAGGGCAGGAACAGTAAGTTTTGCACATACTTACCTTAGACTTTTTGAGTAGTTTCACAAAAATAGCTTGGGTAAAGCAAAAGGCTTTAAAGCTTCCAACATTGGGGTACGCAATCTTTAATGGCTAGAGGTCACAATAGTTTTGTGGGACTGCAAATCACAAAATGGTGAGGCCCCATCTTGTTTATAGGGTTGTTATGAGGGGAATTTGGGACTTTAAAAAAAAATCTGTGATACATCCATTTTAGGCCTTATATTACAGTTCTCCTGTTTCCCAATGCAAAATGGGGAGAGAATGTGCTGTCAACTTTCAGCATGATCAGACAACGTTCCATAAACTGCAAAAAGGATATTTGGAAATCTCGAGGTCTATGGGGTACAAACTGTTCATCTATGATCAATACAATAACCATCATCCATATTATTGTCCTCTCATTATATCAAATTAACAAAAATCATCTAGAATGAACCTATGTCAATGGAATAGCAGGCTGCATTCTCAGTGGTAGGGAACAGACAGATTTAGTGCTATTTGCAATGTATGTATCAAACAGGTTTAGTCCTTATCCCATTAATACCCCAAGTATGCCTATTTGCTTTCTCATGTATAAATGAATGAACTACTACTAATTGGCAAGAAGAAAGTACTTCATAACTCCTATAAAGAAAATGTAAAGCATTTAATTTTGGTACTGTACAAAATGATTGTAAAATCAACCACCATACTTGGCTTAGAGAAATCATCATCTTCTTCTTCTTCTTCGTCATCATCAACTTGTATGCTACCCAATTCTCA